GTACACTCTGTGCACATTTAGCCAGGTATCCCACAAATTGTACGATTGGCCTGTCATTCACACAAAAGTGAAGATAAAGGGAAACAAAAACATATAATTCCTTTAAAAGTTTTTGACTAAAGTAGAGATGTGAAAATTCTGTGTTGTCAGCATTTGCTTGTGGGCGTAAATTACAGAGGTTTTAGGTTTTGCAACATCACTACGCAAAAATGCTCTGATGCCACGTGTGTGACACGTGTTTACACTTACTCACTTGTTTATACCTTTGTTTTACGGCTCTTTTAAGAAGACCATGAGAAGGACAATGGTAAGGATGGCACCTGCACACCGTCTTATTCCACGTCCAAGGAATTTTTGTGAGGGTAGGGGCAGGTGATTGATACCCAACAAACTCTGAGACAAGGTAGCTGAGAGCTAAATGAGCTAAATGACGCTAAAGTAGTTAGGCGGGATCTTTTCTTTTCTTCTGCATGTTTTAGTTACGTTTTAAATCAGGAGTGGGGAGCCCTGGTCCTCAAGGGCCGGTATCCTGCATGTCTTTGCTCCAACACTTCTGATTCAGTGGTTGATTCACCTGTTCAGCAGCTCATCAGGCTCTGCAGAAGCTTGTTAATCACCTGCTGAGTGAAATCAGGTGTGGTGATGCAGGGTTGGAACTAAAATATGCTGGATAGCGGCCCTCGATGGGCCAGGGTTCGCCACCCCTGGTTTAAATGGATAAGTTCATGTGTTCAGCACCTTCAGAGTTGTCATGACGTAACTTTACATATTACACCTAAAACTTTTTTTCATATCAAAGATGAGGTTTCAGGAAAAAAAGACTCCAAATCCCGTCATCTTCTGCTCACCTCTCGTCTAGCTCACTTGTACTTTCTGACACGGAAGCAACAGAGCTTCTTCCCAGCAGAGATTGACTCACAAGGCATTGATTTATACTGGAGACCACTGCTAAGGTGTTGAAAAAATGAGTGAACTTGACATTTAATCTGTTTTTGTGACCCGGTAGCTTAAATCTAAAGAGTAGTATGCATTTCCTTTTAACATAACAATGTTTAACCATGTGCATTGGTCTGTACATGTAAGCAACGAAGTTTAGTGGAACCAGCTGGAATAATTTGGTTCAATAAATTCAACAATGCATTTCTTACAGTTTGAACATGAATTATATGAACATTTTTTAGTGAATTTTCTCTCTTTCTGCACATGAACCTCCAAACCTTTCTCTTACACACATTTTGTGTCCAGTTGCTCCTAGAGACCAGAGAACATGCGTGCATCCGTGCCAGGAGTCTAAAATTAGAGGTATGTTAGCCCTAACACACCTCCTCAGGAAGATCCACTCTGGCTGATTATCACTGAGCTAATAGACCTAAAGCAGCCAAACTATCACTGTCACTGTGCTAAGCAGCAGTGTCAACATCAGCCTGTGACCTGGCACAGGATGGGCTAATGCTTGCGTAACACAACCTTGCACAATACATGACAACATCTATAACATAACAGCGAAAGGAAAACACAATCCCCCCTAAAATGAGACAAAACAATGAAAATATCACCGGTTTGCACCACTGGCACCCTCAGAAATGTTTCATGCAGCTGAATGGGGCTAGTGACACCTTTGGGGTGGACTACCATATTGGTCCCTGTGGTAACTCTGTGCTCCTTCAATCTTATTTGTTAAAAAACAAGCTCCAACACATTACCTCAAATTAGAGAAACACAAACATCTGAGAAAAAATATGCATTTTAAAAGTTATTTCTGTCATTGTTTCACAATTTGTTGTTTAGAATTTCAAGGCTGTTGCCTATCGTAAGCAGGCGGAGTATACCCTGGACAGATTGTCAGTCCATCACACGGCAACATAGAGACACACAGAACAAGCAACCAGGCACACACACTCACACCTAAGGACAATTTAGAGAGACCAAGCACGAGGAGAGCATGCAGGCTCCATGCTGGGAGACCCCGGGTTGGGATTTGAACCCAAGACCTTCTTGCTGCAGGGCAACAGCACTAACCACTGCACTAACACTGCGATATTTTACAAAACAGTGTTTTGTTTTTCTTATAAAATACCATCATTTATAACAAATATTTCAAATTTACACGCTCAAAATTAAAGCCAGAGCAAAATGGCCATCTGAAAGATCAAACCCCACACTGTATAAATGTAGTGGGTTGATTTAATCTTGATCAATGAAACTTTTTTTAAAAATAGTTTGATCAGATCATGTAGAAGAGGAATGCTCTTAGTGTGGAGGGTGCTGGGACATATTCAATTTTATCCATCCACCAGCATTTTTGACCTTGAAAATCAAGTTAATATCCGTTGTCAGATCAATGCAGTTTGGTTGTAAATAAATAAATAAAGTCAGTAATTTACAGAGATCTCAGAAGTTTATTTTTTCTAATTGATGGAATGATGGTTTTTACAATGATGCAGGTTTGCCTTTGATTCAGCTGGCAAAACATAAATGTATAAACATTTACAAAGCATGCAAAAGTTCCTTCCACTGTTTTTTTAATATATATTTTCCTTTTTGCAACTTTTAGAGCAAAAATGAATCAATAAAACCTCCATATATCTTTAGATTCGATGACATCACTGCTCGCACTAAAACCAGCTTCCTTTGTAGCGTTTTGCTCCTGCTCTTACCTGGTGATGTACTGTTCAGTTATTTGACAGATATGTTTATGTGCTTTCCATTATAATCTCCATGGGTGTCTCAGATTACTAAAACACCAACAGAGGGCAGCATGTTCTGCAGTCCTGGCAGGAGGTTTAACCTCATCTATTTACAGCCATGTGAAAATAAGCAGGTTCTGCTTTTTTTGCAAGTCCAGTCAAAATCAAGCCATCTTTATTTATTACAACATAAACTCCTAGACCACTGCATGATTTGATTTTATTACATAAAAATGTAGTTTTAACTGAATGCGTGTCAGGCTCTTAATGTGTTTAAGCTTTTATTTTGATTGAGTTTCATCTTCTGGTCCATGTAGACTGACTGTTAGTTGCATTAAAAACTACAGAGCTCTCTTCTGAATTTTTGCCTTTTCTAGAGAGTTTGAAAGGGGATTTAAAAGAGAATAAAAAAAGATGTGCAGCAAAGGTCTGCCCTTGATTACACATGGTCAGTGCCTAAAGCCTCAGGGTTACGAGGACGCCCAAAAAGTCATCCACTCTGACGGTCTTTTAGAAACGCTCAAGGCCATTTCTTCAGACACGCTTGCTATCTAAGTATGTTTCTTCTGCAAATATTCTTCTGTCCTTACCTTTTATTTTCTTATTTTAAAACGTGTCTGAATCTGACAATCCACCAGAGTTGCTGTTGTGCAGAGATTATTCCTGCAAGAAATGTTGTTTAAGTTAAGAAATTTCAAAGCAATCTAAAGATTCACCAAAAAATGTTCAAAAATAGAAATGTAAAATATCTGAAAAATAATCTGTGGCTGAGAACAGCTGTCCTGCTTTTCCAAAATAAGCTCATCAGAACATTAAAAAGAGCATGACTCTGGGATGATTTCTGTTCAAGGAGCAAAAGAATAACCTGAATCTTGACCACTTTCACAGACATAGAAGCTGTTG